ATTCACACTCCTTAATTTAATGCAAATCCATTGAGCTAATGCATTATCTTGGTCATTTGGGCATTGTACACAAAACTAAGCCCTAAGTAGAAAAATGTACATTTCTATTTTTGAAAAGGTATGCTTTATGTCAAACCATGATCTTTGAAGCATAGGGCCAAGATCTCAGAAGACAAATCAAATCCACAAATTCCAGCAACCAAGATGATTGTATGCAGCATATTATATGGCTTGTACAGGCCTGTATTGACAACTTCACATCTTTGCTTCAAAAACAAGAAATTGTCCAAACACTTGCCAACTTGAAAACCAGTCCATGCTAGCTTAAACAAACATTACAAACAACTTTCACACAACCCTTTGAGCAAGATACACGATTGTTTGAGCCTCAAAACCTCCCATAGCCAGAAATCACTCTTCTTTGGAAAAATAGGGCAGGTGCTGCAACTTGAGTGCCATAGCTCATTTGGCTCGTGTGTTTTGCTCCTTTTTGCTTCAAACACCTTCCATTCAACTCACTCAAGCTATCCCAAACCTCTATTGCCAACTGTAACTCCATTTATAGTGTTCACCATTTTCATTTCAAGCTTATGCAGGTTGAGTTCTAGAGGCTGATTCAGGGGCATTCAAGGTAAGCTAGCTATTGGAAAAGATCAAGTGAAGTTCAGGCAAGCTACCAGACACCTCAAAACTTATTGAGAAGCACTACATTGTCCTACTCGAATCCAACTGAAACAGGTTTTTCATCACTTTCTATCTCTCTATTTAGGAACATTTAGCCTTAAGTTTGTGAATGAAAAATGTAGTATTCAATGCCATGAAGCCATACATATGCTCAACTTTCATTTATATTAAGTGTGCTAGGAGAATTTCATCCATGAACATGCTGAAAAAACTAGGTCAGATTTTGGGGTCAGAGAAATTCTCTCTGGTCTTTGAGAGTTAGGATTAATGCTTTATATGGTTAGAATCATATTGAAATTCTCTACAAGTTTGATGTTATAAGTTTTGGCAAAAGATCACGTTTCCAGGATGTTCAAGATTGTAAAACAGGCGCGCGTTTTTCAAATGTGCTGGAGGAAGAAGATGAAGTGGTGGGCTGGGCTTTGCCTGCTTGCTTCTAACACCCCTCTTTTCAGTTTCACACCCCCTGGCCCAATTTCTTATATTTTTGCATTTTTGAATTTTTGTTTTCTTTTCTGACTTTTTTATTTTATTTCCAAATATAATAAATACTCAAAAAATATTTTCATAATTATTTTAATTTATTTGGCATTTTATTCTAATTTTTTCTAACATTAAAAGCATTTAAATATTCTTTTATATTATTAAGACTTGAAAAATATTTACATTTTTATACTTTTATTTTTGTTCTTCACTTTTATTTATATTAAAAATATTTTCTTGAATATATTTTATTTTTGTACATATGTTATTTTATTTTGTACATATTTAATTTGATTAATATACACATAATAAACATATATACTTTTATTTTATTAAATACTTAGAATAAAAATACAAAAATATTACATTTTTATTTTTATTATTATTTATACTAAAAAAAATACCTTTTTGAGTATATTTCATTTTTTACACATATTAATATATTTTTGTATATAAATAATATATAATATTTATTCTCTTAAAGAAATTAGGGTTTACTCTTAAAACAAATAAAATTAATCTTTTATTTATTTATTTATTTCTTTATACTTTTTATACTAAAAATACTTTTACATACATAAACAAATTAAAATCTTTTTGCGTAATATATATTATTTAATATTCATTTATTTTGTTTATTTAAATATTGTACATTTAAATATTTATGCATTGTGATTCAATTTGGATGTAATAGTAAACTAGGGTTTATATTTTTTGTCAAACACCCCCCATTCAAAATTATACCCCCATCTCCATAATCATGTTGTAATAGCTTAGAATTTAAATTCTCGCATTTTACGCTTTCAAATATGCCATGATTAGAGAATTAGGGTTTGTATGCAAAAATCAAATTAACAAATAGTTTGACCTAATCAAAGACAAAAATGCATGAAAATCAAACACAATACACACTTGCACCCCTAGGGTTACAATCCACTTGTTGCCTTCAAAAATGGGCCATGGTATGCATGTTGGGTACTTTGGAAAAACAAAAACAAAACAAAAGATCATAGTCTCTCGATGACGCTATGTGAGTTGTCTAAACAAAAATGATCAAGTCCCTCAAGAAAATTGCCAAAAATACTTAGCACAATTGCTATCATGGTCTATACAATGACCCGCGTCTGTCCCGTTTAACATCTTAATACAAGGTTGTTCACCAAATACAATGGTGAAATAACATTGTCAAAATGGTTAAAAACATAAGAAATATCTTTTGAGTAAAATAGAGTAGACAACTCTTAGTTACTTGATCAAAAGCTTACAAAAACATCCTTGCTATTTTCAAACACACCTCACAACACAATTTCAAAACAAACTTTCAAAAACATTGAAACCTTTTCAAAAGACCAAAACACCTTTGTATACATTCAAACAAGAATCATTACAAAGGTTGCCACAACGATGGCCTCTTTTCAAAACATCTTTCAAAACCACACACAAAGCACCATTTCAAACAATTGAAGAGCACCATTTCAAACAATTGAAAAGCAAAGGAAGTGATCTAAACAAGTAACTAAGAGCCCATGGATAACCATGGATGAAAAGGGTGCTTGCACCTTCCCTTTTCATAATCTACTCCCCGAACCCAAGAAAACATCTCAAAGGTCTTTCCTGTGCTTTTTGACCTTTCCTTAGGATAAAATAAAAAGTCGGTGGCGACTCTTGCTAAACCGAAACATTTGCGAACACAAACGCAAAACCTCAAGTCAGTTCTCCCACCGTATCACAGTAGCAATAGTAGAGTTAGCAGCAGGAGACACAGTACCTTGAGTGAGATTAACAGAGAGATAATCTTGAGATGCAGCACGAGGAGTACGATCCAGCCTTGCTTCATGAGAAAGAAGCATCATTTCATCAACAACAATATCATAAGGTTCATCATAATACTGAATAATCGAAGCTAGGGCTCGATACTCTTGTGATAAACCATCGACGATTCTTTCCAAATGATCACGGTGCGACACCAGATCACTAATTGACTCCAAGATATCAATTATTTGTTGAATGCGACTGAGATACTGTGTAATCGTACAATCTCTTTTCTGCATAGTACGAAGCTCGTACCTAAGCTAGCGCGAATTCACATAGATCCGTGTTCTCTAAAATAATCGATGACGAACCACACTTCATGAGCATGAACGCACTTGATGACGCGAGGAAGAAAGGCATCAAATAGAGTCGTTAGAAGCCACATGAAGAGAAGAGAATCCTCTTGATACCAAACCTGATACGCTGGATTTTCAGAGTCAGATTCACGATCCTCCATCGTGAGAAAATGCGGTGGAATCACCAGATTCACCAGATGCCGATGAAGCTTGTGAATGCGAATGATATCTTCGACTTGCTGCTTCAATGAGAGGAAGTTGTTGTTATCGAGTTTGATGTTAATCTGATATGCGAACGTCTTGAATACATTCTTCAGAGTAGACGAAACCAGTTATTGCAACGATGAGTTTTCATCGTTCGAAGTAGACAGTGAATTTAAATGAGACGCCATGGATTATAAGTCATGATACCATAATAGATAAAGATAAACTAACATAGAGAGAGAGTAATAGTTTGTTATTGATTCAATAAAAACTCTCTTAGATGAGTTTGTTACAATTAGATTGTTATATAGAGGCTGCAGTGCCAGCTGTCAGTGCCAGCTCATCAAGCTAAGCTAACTGTAGAATATATCTATTATAAACTACAATTAACTACTATAAACAAACATCTATATGATTACTCTATTAGAGTGAAAGATTTATTTTGGAGGGTAAGTTTGACATTGTTACAAATGCCTTCACAATGAAGATGTGGTCCATTGCCAACCATAACTGAAAATTGGGGAAATTGGTGTAGTCAGAAGGTTGAGATAATGAGCAATTCTTAGTTATAAAGTATTATGAGTGCTGCAAGTATCCACAAGAACCATAACTTGAAGGCCTCCAATAAGGCCTTGAAATTTGAGGGTTTGTGGGGAAAACTGGCATGTCACCACTTGAGTTGATAATTGGAAATAGGTATCGTTAGGGTCTGCCTAAGTATTTTTTACACTAACTGGTTCTTCTAATTCTGTGCTGTCATATATTTCATCTTCCACCAGAAGTAATCGAAATCTACTTGAAGCACATATGTGGCGTGGTATAAATTTTTCGTCACAATTAAAACAAAACCCTCAAGCACGACGCTTTTGCATTTTGGTGTTTGATAGGCGGCAAATGGGTAGTTTAGTAGGTTGTGATGTGGATGGTGTTTTGGGATAATCATAGATTGTGATGAAGGGTTAGGGAGGGTAAATGGGTTGGAGTGTGGTTTATGAAATTTCGGTTTGGCATCTTTTATTTTGGATTCAATAAGCTTAGCAAGTCCAATGGCTTGAGAAATGGATAATGGTTTATGAACAACTAACTCACTTTGAATCTCTGGTACGAGACCAAAAATAAAACAATTAAGAATTGCTTCTTAATGTAATCCCACAACCTGATTTCCTAATTTTTCAAACTTGGCTTGATAATCCATAATAGACCCATCTTGTTTTAACTTAAACAACTCAGCTTGATGGTTAGCATAAGTAGAAGGACCAATGCGTAATTCCAATGCTTTAGAAAAAGAGTTCCAATTCAGCAATAATTGATTTTGATGCATCCATTTGAACCAACACAAAGCTTCACCTTTCATATAAAATGACATCATAGATAATCTATTTTCAGGGGGTAATTGGTAAAAATTGAAAAATTGGTCTGCTTGAATAACCACTCAAGTGGGTTTGAACCATTAAATATTGCAAGTTCTAATTTGGGTGTTTTAAAAGTGGGTAGTTGAGGGGGTTGGTAAATTTGTGGAAAATGTTGAATGGTATAATTTTGTGTGGTTGGGAAGGCAGTATTGTAGGGTATGTCAAAAAAAGTGTGGGGCTGGAGAAATCTGGGTTGGTAAGCTGCAAAAATTCTCATTGCAGTAGTAGCAGTAGGGGGAAGGTGGGTATGAGAAAAAGTTACGGAGTGAACATGTGTGGTAGTAGCATGGGTAATGGGAGACCCATGGGGTGAGTTAGTTCGAGGTAAAGTGGAATGAACATGGGTTGTATGCATAGGAATAAATAAAGGTGAATGTGTAAGACCTGATGAGCTTGCAGCTGATTGGGTGGGTGACAGCAGATTTCGGTGGTTTCTTTTGAGCAGTAAGTTTAGTGAGCAGACCCATAATATTATCATATCTAGAATCAACAACTTGTTCTTCATTGTCCATTCTAGTTTGTATTTGTTGCAGATCAGTATTTGTTTTATCAAACCTCTCATTCATTTATTGTTGGGTTTGATTCATAACATTATCAAGATGGATGTGAGCAGTTTGGACAATACCAATGAAAGCACCAATGATAGATCTAACTAGGATAATAACCAAATTTAAGTTTCTAAAGAAGATAAACATAAAATAAGTTAAACATTTTCATTGAAGATTCAACCAAGAACTATTAAACTTAAATAGTAGGGTTTTATAAGTTAATGGGCCTGGGCCACTTTTTGCAAAGACAACATAACATATGTAATTAAAATTAGGATAATTATTAAAGAGACCCCTATTTAATATTGAATGCAGTCCTCTAATGATTTGGACTGCCTTTTGATTCGTTTGGGCTTTTGTATGGACATCTTAAAATAGGTATAACAAGATAGTATTAAATATAAATGTAAACATATATTCAGGCGTTTGAAGCATAAATTATCATGTTAAAAGAGTCTAACTCTTTTTTCGTTAAACTCACATGTCTCATTAGTTGTAAGAAAAAAAATTAAAATAAGTTACTCAATGTTTATATATATTGTGATAATAATTAATCCTTAAGATTACTATAGTACCTCAAAAATATCCTAAGAGATTTTTTTTATGAGGATTTTCTTAAAAAATTTGTATGGATAAGACCAAAATTCAATCAAATAAAGTTTCAAAAAAATAACCTTTAAGTTTTTTCTTATTTATCTGACTTATATCCTGTGCAATCCGGACAATGGATTAGTTTTAGGTATAAGCCACACTACTTTCCTTTTGCTTTTTACTTACTTGCTTTATTTCTATTTTTATGTACATAACAGTGTTGCAGCAACTGCATAATGCAGCCTTATTGGTACGCTGCTTGCTTGTACCCGTTTTTGTCCAAAGTTTTAACATTTTTAAAACTAGAGCAAATTGATGTTAACTGAGATAGGATGTAGATGTAGTATTTAAAATGAAAGAAACATATTTTTCAATAGTTCCTTCCTCATTCCTTCAAGGTACACTAGATTTTCATTAACTATTTCCCACTTAATTGTCTTTATTTTACTTTTTATCTCTAGTTTTTGTAAAGTTTGGGTTTTGTTGTATCAAATCTTTTATATGGATCCACTTTATCTTTTCATGTTTTCAGTCGCTTTCTCTTTTGCTATAAGATATGGCTGTAGCTTTTACATCTTGATTGATAAGTTTTTCCAGAAAGAAATCAATGTAAGGGAAAGTTCTTATCAATTTATTTATTAAATTCTATTGCATATAAAAGATCATAACAAAAGTAAGAAAATCAAATAATATATTATATAAATTGGGAAACATTGTAAGGTCAAAACCTATCACAAAATCATTCTTATAGTTGTAGATAGAAAACAGGAAACGAGTCCACCAGTCCAGGATTTTGTGTTCTCTCCATTTCCAATTTTATTAGCACAAGCAGAATAAATTTTCATCTATCCTATTACCAACAGCATGCATAATATCTCGTCACCACAAAGGAATCTTTATTACTAACATGAATTGCATCCCTATTTGTAAAATTTTAAAATAAGGGGCCATACCTGATTTGATAACAACCCATGTCATATAACATCTTCATCGTGAAGACACCGCCATTTCAATTTGATGAGCTGCACTTTCACATCTTTTACTCCTAAACATCCCCTTCCTTCCTTTTTGCATATAGATTCTCAATTCATCCTATTAATACCTTTGATCCGAGTATCCACACCACAAAAAATTCTCCTAGATGCTAGTCAACGCTTGCACAATTTTTTTAAAGTAAGATATTGAGAAGAGAACTAAGCCAATTAGACGGGTTACTTGTTAGTGCATAAAATTAAGATCAACAAACTAAACTTAATAGCTGTTGAAAGTAATTGATATTCAAAAATTGTTAGACTCAGAAGCAGTTTTGCTCTTAAGCAGTATAGTTTCTAAGGTTATTAGTCAGAAGAAGAAACTTCTGAGGTTACACCCAGAAGTATGTTTAACTTCTGGGATTCTAGTTATTTTTGTTTATTTAGCTATTAAGTTTAGTTTGCTTAGTTATTAAATTTATCTTTTGTTAGGGCCTACGTGGCAATTTACTTTGTGTATAAATAGTTAGTAGTAGCTGTCATAAATAATTAATTCCTTCTTACAGCTTTACAGTCGTTATTACTTTTGTTCTCATAAATATATTCTCATTCCTTTTGTTCTTAACATTGTGAACTAACAATTGGTATCTAGAGCTCTGGTTCGGATCCACGGGAAAACACGAGAAACATGAGTGAAACGGTGAGGCGTTGTATGATTGCTTTCGTGAACAGAATCATAACAAAATCATATTTTCTGATTCTGCGGGATTGAGAAACACTGTGTTTGGTGAGATCTTAGTGACTTGCACAAGGTTGATGATGAACGAAAATAGTAGTTTGAGCACCAAACTTCCGGTGTCCGATGGAAAGAACTGGAATCGTTGGATGATTCAGATGCGTGTGTTATTCGGTGCTCATGAAGTTCTTGAGCTTGTTACCGAAGGTTACGATCTAGTTGCAGCGGATGCGATGGAGGAACAGAGAAACACGCAGAGAGGCAAAAGAAAGAAAGATCATGGGGCATTGTTTTATATTCATCAGTGTGTGGATGTGAACATGTTTGAGAAAATTGTTGATTCGACAACGGCGAAGGTTGTGTGGGACACACTGATTAGGTTTTACGATGGTGGCGCATCAGTGAAGAAAGTGAAACTTCAGTCTCTAGGAAAATAGTATGCACATCTCAACATGAAGGACAACAAGAAGGTTTCTGAGTACATATTAGAGTAATTTTGGTCACTAATGAGATAAAAGCTTGTGGATAAACTCTTTTTGAACAAATAATCATTGAGAAGATATTGAGGTCTCTTATTTCTCAATTTAATTATATTGTTGTAGCAATTGAACATTCTAAAGATCTGGACACTATGAGAATAGAAGAGCTGTAAAGTAGTCTAGAGGCGCAAGAGTTGCGTCTGATTGAGATAACTTCTAAAAGAGAAGTTGAGTAGGCTCTGAAAGCTTATTTTGTCAAGAAGGACCAGAAATAGAAAAAACATGGTATGTCTCAAAAGTCAGAAGTCTTCTATAATGATGAAAAGAAACATTAGAAAGGAAAGGAGAAGTATGACAAGAGAATGGTTCAATGTTATTATTGTAATAAGTTTGGCCACATTGCTAAAGACTGTTAGTCAAACAAAGAAGAAGCAAAAATAGGCAAAGGAGATTCTGATGATGAATCTGTGCTATTGATGGCTTAGGAATCTGATGAGAAATCTGTGCGACTGTCATTTTCAGATTATGAAGGGAAAGAAAATGACTTGAATATTCAGAAGGAATGTTTGAATATGAGTCAGAATCAGAAGATGACTTTGAAGATTCTAAAGATGAGTCAGAATCTGAGGTTTTTGAAGATGAGTCAGAGTTAAAAGATGACTTTGAAGCTGAAGACAAGTCAAAATTCGAAGGTGATTCTGAGTCTGAAGAAGAATCAGAAGATGAGTAAGAATCTGAAGGAGATTCTGCTTCTGAAGATGAATCAGAACCTGAAGATTTTGAAGACGAGTCAGAACTTGAAAGTTCTGAAGGTGAGTCTGAGTTAGAAGATGAAGAATCTTCTGGAGACTCTGAAGATGAGTCAAATGGTGAATTTGATTCTGCTCCATATTCTGAATATGATGGTGACCATGCTTCTAGAAGGGAAAACTCTAAAGATATAGGTTATGGAGGACAAACTTCTGGAGATGATCATGTTTCTGGTGGAAATCATGTCTCTAAAGGTGGACCTTCTAAAGGGGGGAGCTTTTGAAGGTAGTCCAACCTCTAACGGTGGTCATGATTCTGAAGGTGAAACTTTTGAAGGCAGAGCTTCTGAAGGCGATCCAATTTTTGAATATGGTACTTTTGAAGGTAGTGATTCTGGACAAAGTCCAAAAGCTAACAAAGGTGGAGCTTCTGGTGGTAGTCTAACTTCTAAAGAAAGTCCAGAAGGAGATTCTGTTACAAAATTAGAAGGAAACTCTGAACAAGTCCAGATACCACAAAGAAACAAGACTTGGGAGTTAACTGAGCTTTCAAAGGAGAAGAGAGCCATCAGTGTCATATGGGTTTTCAAGGAGAAATCTGCATTTCTAAATGGAGTATTAGAAGTTGCACACTGTAGCAACCAGAAGCAACTTCAAGATGTTCTGATGAAGGATGTCAAGACTGAACAATTTATCTGTTTGAGGGATGAAATTGGTGTTGTATTTTTTTAGTTAACTGAATATGAATTAAGGGATGGTGTTGGAAGTAATTCATATTCAGAAGTTGTTGAAGTCAGAAGCAGTAGAGTCATGAGGTTGTTAGTCAGAAGCAGAAGCTTCTAAGATTACGTCTAGAAGTATGTTTAAATTCTGGGGTTCTAGTTATTTTTGTTTAGCAAGATATTGATAAGAGAACTAAGCCAATGAGATGTGTTAGTCTCGAATCTAAGTCAATTAGATGTGTTACTCTTTTATTTTCGAATGCTCTCTTCCTAATACTTTTTCATGATAGACAGGTGCGCATAACCCACAACGCCAACTATAGAAGGGTATGTCTGGGAAAGATTGATTAGTCTATTGATCATATATATAGAAAATAGAAAGTCGTCAATTAGGTGATTACAAATGAAACATCTAAAATGAGAACATGGTTAAGTTAAACAATTACCGGTCTCGAAGATCCAACATAATTTCTTACATATCTTGTTTTCAAATGTCTTCAACTCATATAACGGTCTCGAAGTTGTGTTGGATATTCGAGTCGATACTTGTTTAATTTACGATGTTATCATTTTAGATGCTTCATCTGTAAACACCTAATTGATGACTTTCTATTTTCTAAATATATGATCCATAGACTAATCAATCTTTCCCATACATATCCTTATATAGTTGGTGCTAATAAAATTTTAGTCCCTAGCAAATCTAGAACTATTTTGTAATTAGATGACACTAATAAAATAATGCGCCATTGTCAAATTCTGTTGAATTTTTACTAGAACATTATTTAATAATTTTTTAATGTTTAATTAACATTGAATATATTTTATTAAAATACAATAATAATAACTTAAAAATAAATCATCAATATATATATATATATATATATATATATATATATATATATATATATATATATATATATATATATATATATATATATATATATATATATATATATATATATATATATATATATATATATATATATATATATATATATATATATATATATATATATATATATATATATATATATATATATAATGTAGGTTCTGTAGGACAAGCTTCTGGAGATGATCATGTTTCTGGTGGAAATCATGTCTCTAAAGGTGGGCCTTCTGAAGGGGGAGCTTTTGAAGGTAGTCCAGCCTCTAACGGTGGTCATGATTCTGAAGGTGAAACTTTTGAAGGCAGAGCTTCTGAAGGCAATCCAATTTTTGAAGATGGTACTTTTGAAGGTAGTGATTCTGGACAAAGTCCAAAAGCTAACAAAGGTGGAGCTTGTGGTGGTAGTCGAACTTCTGAAGAAAGTCCATAAGGAGATTCTGTTAGAAAATTAAAAGCAGATTTTGAACAAGTCCAGATGCCACAAAGAAACAAGACTTGGGAGTTTACCGAACTTCCAAAGGAGAAGAAAGCCATCAGCGTCATATGTGTTTTCAAGGAGAAATCTACATTTCTAAATGGAGTATTAGAAGTTACACATTATAGCAACCAGAAGTAACTTGCAGATGTTCTGATGAAGGATGTCAAGACTGAATAATTTATGTGTTTGAGGGATGAAATTGGTGTTGTAGCTTTTTTGGTTAGTTGAATATGAATTAAGGGATGTTGTTGGAAGTAATTCATATTCAGAAGTTGTTAGAGTCAAAAGCGATGTTACTCAAAAATAGTAGAGCTCCTGAGGTTGTTAGTCAGAAGAAGAAGCTTCTGAGGTTACGCCTAGAAGTATGTTTAGCTTCTAGGGTTATTTTTGTTTGGCAAGATATTGATAAGAGAACTAAGCCAATTAGATGTGTTAGTCTCGAATCTAAGTCAATTAGATGTGTTACTCTTTAATTTTTCGCATGCTCTCTTCCAAATACTTTTTCATGCCAGACAGGTGCGCATAACCCACAACACCTACTATAGAAGGGTATTTATAGGAAAGATTGATTAGTCTATTGATCATATATATAGAAAATAGAAAGTCATTAATTAGGTG